AGAGACATAGGGTATATGTAATTAAAGTTTTATAGAAGAGAAGAAGAAGAAAAAAGAAAAGGAGAAAAAGAATGGGGCAGAAACAATATTTGATGAGAATTTGGCTATGGATTTTTCCCAAACTGATGAAAATTATCAAACCACAAATTAAAGCTGATCAGTGGTATCAAGCAGGAAAAATATTAAGAAAATCCGCCTGGGGAACATCATAGTAACATTGCAGAAAACAGGTCAAAGAAATCTTAAAGGCAATAAGAGAGTAAGGCATTTTACCTTCAACAGAGCCAGCAAGACTGACAGCCTGACTTTTTAATAGTAACATGGCATAGAGAAATAATAGCATTAAAGTGGTGACAGCGAATAACCACCAATCTTTACCAGTGAAAACATCCCTTAAAAATAGAAAGTAAAGATGTGTTCAGAGAAACAAAAATTGAGGAGAATGTGTAACCAGCAAAACCACCCTTAAAGGATATACTAAAGGTTGTTCAGAATGGAGGAAGATGATTCCAAATGGGTGAAAATGTTGGGAAGGGACTGTTATGTGGGTAAATATGAGTGATTTTTAGTTGTATAAAATAATAGTAATAATGATGTGGACTTTAAAAGAATTAAAGTATGTAACCGTAATAGTACTGTATTTGAAAAGAAAGTAAATGGTGATAAATGTGTTCCAATGCCCTTGTATTGTCTGGGAAGTGGTAAAAGTGCTAATTTTATGGAGGAATTTGTAAATGAGAGATATATGTTATAATCACTTAGGTAACCACTGAAAGAATAGTAAAATGATATGTATTTGATAAGCTAGTGGTGGAGAAAAATGGAAAAATAAAAATTTAAAAAATGATTAAAACAAGAGGGCAAGAAAGAGGAGATACAACAGGCAAGGCACATAGAGAACAAATAGTAAATTATTTTATTATTTATATGAGTTTCAATACTTACTAGGTGAGCTATGTAAAATTGGCAATATTTAGCATAAAAATAGCAATTTTATAATACATTAAATGTAACTAGATCAAATTAATTAGAACCAGAGTATCTAATTAACTAACTATATTCTGTGTATAAAGAAATCACACATTAAATGTGAAAATGCAGTAATGTTGAAAGTAGAAAATGGAAGAAGATATATCATGTAAACACCAAGGTGAGAAAGTTGGTTTAGCTGTGTAAGATAAAATAGACATTAAGGCAGAAATGTTATTAGAGATAAAGAGAAATATTTAGTTGGCAAAGGGTGTATATAACTTTAAGAATGCAAAAACAGGAACTAATTCATTAATCCTTACATGTTACCATGACTTCGAAGGATTAGTTTTGTTAAGTTAACCAGTTTGGGGGGATTGCATATGAAGCAGGTGCTCTTCCACTGAGTTATGTCCTACCACTTTTTAAAATTTATTTTGAGGCACAGTCTTTCTGAGTTGCCTACGCTGGCCTCTTAAGTAGTTGTCCTCTTGCTTCAGCCTGTCAGGTAACTGTGATTACAGGTGTACACCACTGCACCTGGCATGATTTGTGCTTTTTGTATTATTAAAAATCTTGCACTGGGGCTGTGACTCAGTGGTAGAGCGCTTGCCTCACACATGTGAGGCACTGGGTTCAATCCTCAGCACCACCTAAAAATAAATAAACAAAATAAAGGTATTGAGTCCATTTACAACTAAACAACAACAAAAATAAAAACTTTTGAGATATAAAATTCAACTAATTCTGTTTTTTTTCTGAAAGCTTTAAAGTTTTTTTCTTTATACACAGAATATAGCTAGTTAATTAATTTTTTCTTTGAAATCTTTTGATTCATCTGACATTTGTTTATATAATGGATAACACACAATTTCATTTTATTTTCTGTAATTAAGTTTGTCTCTTGAATTCTTGATTTGAAATGTCACATGATACTGAATTTCCATTTCTGCCTGGGTCTCTATCAAGTTTGTCTTTCTGTTCCGTTTTGACCATTTGCCTTTGGCCAACATCATGCTAATTTTAAGATATAATAAGTCTTGATAGCACTTTGGGTAAATACCTTATGATTTTTCAGATTTTTGGGGGATGGGCTTTAGGATCACCTTAAGTTTCATTCTTTTTTTCCACCTTAAGTTTCATGGAAAATGTTGAAATTTTGATAGGTAATATACTGAATTTATACACTAATTTGGGAGATAATTGCAATTTTTTAAAATATAGAATCATTTTACTTATAAACAAGATAGATTTATTTGTCTTTTATCTTCCTCAGTGAAGTTTGAGTTTTTCCTTATAAAAGTCTTTTTTTTTTTTGATACTGGTGATTGAACCCAGAGGCGCTTTGCCATTGAGTCACATACTCAGCCCCCACCCCTTTTTAATTTTAAATTTTGAGACAGGGTCACTAAATTGCTTAGGGCCTCACTAAATTGCTGAGGTTGGCCTCAAATTTGTGATCCTCCTGCCTCACCCTCCTGAATTGCAGGAATTAGAGGTGTGTGTCACCATGCCCAGCTTTAAAGTCTTTTGTATCTTTTGGTAGATGTATTCTTAGAAACCTTAAATTTTTATTTAAATTTTAGAGCTGGGGCTGTAGCTTAGTGGTAGAGTGCTTGCCTAGTATGCATGAGGCACTGGGTTCGATCCTCAGCACCACTATATAAAAATAAACAAGTAAAATAAAGGCATTCTGTCCATCTACAGGTACCCAAAAAAAAAAAAAAAAAAACAATAAATAAATAAAAAGATTTTAAATGACAAAGTTATATTTAAAATTATTTATATAATATTTAGGGATGCTGTTGATTTTGGTGTGTCTATCTGAAATCAAACTTCAACTAAACTCTTTTATCATTCTGATGTTTTGTTCTTTCTCTTTGATTTAATTTTCTTCATGATAAATTATATCATCCACAAATAAAATTTATTTTTCCTTTCGATTGTTATTTCACCACCTTTATATTTATACCTAAATAATATGGTCTAGATAGATATCTTTGAACAGTAATACATTCATGCATATGCAGATATTATATGTATTTTCTTCTTGGTTTATTTAGATCAACTTGGAAGGAGAAGTATCCATGTTATAGTTAGGCAGCTGCATATTTTAACGAATATACCACAAGTTTATGTATGTGTTGTTGATGGATGTTTGGGCAGTTTCCTGTTTTCATGACCATGCTTTTTGTATGTTCTTGGGTATCTTTTTATGACTTTCCATGCATGTATCTGCAGGTTCATAAGAGTGTACAAATCTTTAACCTGACAGTATAGTGCTGAACTGTTTTTCAAGCTGTTTGAATCAATTTAGATTTCCACTGACAGTATTTGAATGTTCCTTTTGCTCCATATCCTTGCCAGTGATTGATGTTGCCAATTTGGTGTTCATGTAGCTGTGATCTTAGAATTTCATTTTCCTGATTGATTAACGAGGTTAAACACTATTCATGTGAATGTTAATTGGTTATTTGAATATCATCTTTTGTGATGGTCCTATTCAAATCTTTTGTCCATTTTTGTATTAGATTATCTGTCTTACAGATTTTTAGATGTTCTTTATGTATTTTTCATACATATGTTTGGGTACATATTCTGGATATGTTCTGCACATGTCTTCTGATTCCATAACTTGTGTTTTTACTCTTTGTGATGTCTTGATAAAAAAGTTAAATTATTTTTGTTTTAAATTTTTTCCCTTTAAAGTAGTAGAATATAATTAATATTTTTCTTTATGATTAGTGCTTTTTATTGTCCTAATTTAAAAAGTTTAATAAGAAAGTGATGCAGATAATTTTCTTTTATTATTTGCTAAACCTTTCTAGAGTTGCTTTTCACATTTAGGTCTCTAACGTATGTACATATATATGTATGTATGGTATAGGGTGAGAGTTTGGTTTTTGTTTTTTCCCATATGGATACTCACTTGTTCTACTATTTTTGGGGGGGTGGGGTGGGGGGAGAATAACACATATTTGTCATAAATATATCTGTGCTCGTGTAGATATATTTCTGGACTTTTCTGTTCTAGTAGTGTCTGACACAGAAATCCACCTAAATGAAGCACGTGCAAGAAGGTGGGAATAAATTACAAATTATCAGTCATTGTAACAGATACAAAATGGACTAAATCCACCAGTTTAGAAACAGATTTTACATTGGATTTTTAAAACATGAGAACTCAGGAAAGTTTAAAGCAAAAGATGGGAAAAAGAATTAGCAGGTAAATTCTGAGTGTCTTTCTCTTCTTTGGGAAGGAACAAGTGTCTCAATTCAACTTCATACATTGTTGGGTCTAAGGCCTCTCTGCTCCTGTCCCCTAGTGTTTATTAAAACTCAAGCCCTAACAGGTGCTGTGGCACATGGCTTGGGAGACTGAGGCAGGAGGATCGCAAGTTCAAAGCCAGCCTTAGCAGCTTAGCAAGGTCCTAAGCAGCTTAGTAGACCCAGTCTCAAAATAAAAAGAGCTGTGGATGTGCCTTAGTGGTTAAGCGCCTCTGAGTTCAATTCCTGGTACCCCCCCTAAATAATAATAACAATAAATAAATAAAAACAAAGCTGCAAGCCCAAAGATTACAGAAATTTACCTCCCAGGACAGCCTTTTTTTCCCCTCTGCCCCTGGAAATTTTCTTTATTGTGGGGTCAGCCATGTATTTAAAGGCAATTTGCCATGTTTTGTTTTATCTATCATGTGTTAGGCATTTGTAGGGACATTTTTCTCCTGTTTACTTCCAGTCATTTAGTCTGCTGTGTATTGTCTACTCCATTAGTCTTTTATAGAGTTTTTTGCTTTTTTTAAAAAACTCTTGTTAACTGAGGATCAACTCAGGTCCTTGTGTCTGAGAATTTTAAGAACTCATCCTTCTAAGGGTTCCACTAGAAATATAGTGATTGCCTGTGGTTGATAGGTATTCGTGTGTTTTTCATGTTTCTACTAACAGAGCACATATTTCATAACGTTATCTTAAAAAAAAAAATTGTCCTTAAGATCCTTCAAGTAATAGCCTTTCTTTTATATTTGTTGCAGGTGGTGCGGTTGTGTCAGAACCCAAAGCTGGCGCTGAAGAATAGCCCACCTTATATCTTAGACCTGCTGCCAGATACCTACCAGCATCTCCGTACTATCTTGTCAAGATATGAGGGGAAGATGGAGACACTTGGAGAAAATGAATATTTTAGGGTGTTCATGGAGAATTTGATGAAGAAAACTAAGCAGACCATAAGCCTCTTCAAGGAGGGGAAAGAAAGAATGTATGAGGAGAATTCTCAGCCTAGGTAATGGAGAAATACTACACAAATATTATTTCAGGTCTGTGACTGCCTGAATGGATAACCATAGAAGTAGTTGAGTTTGTTTGAATTTTATATTATCTGGAATGGAACATGACAGTAGATTTTAAGGTGTGCTTTATGTAAAGGTTCTTTTGGAGGACATTGCGCCATCTTCAAGTCTGGTAGACTTGTTTTCCTAAAGTTATAGAAATGGTTGCAGACCGTAGACCTTTGAAGACCTGGGGGATCATGAAAGTTAATTGTATGTTGATGTTATTGTGTTTGGTTTTGACCAGTTGGAAATAAATTTTAACTCATTTAGAACAAGTAACAAAATATAAATTCTACTAGGATTTTTTTAGTGAGTAATTTACTCTTGAGGGACACTTAATTGGAAGGAATAGTAATTTTTGAAAGCATTAAGTAACTATGCATGACTCTAGCAGTAATGTACTAATGGTATTTTTGTAGTTTACTATTTCTTAGTCTCTGATGGCTTCAATTTTGGCAACCCTGTCCCACTTAAAATTTTTTCCACATCATTACTCATATACCTTGACTGTAACTAATTATTCAGGTTTAGTTCAGGTATCAATCTTTTCTTCTTGAAATGATTTCTGGTGACTAAATTCAGTCTGTAGGAATTTATAACTTCTGATTTACTTGCAAATGAACTTTATTCTTATTAAATGTAAAAGGGCTGGGGATGTAGCTCATTGTCTAGCCTTTGTAAGGCCCTGGGCTTGTTGGTGGTGGGGGGGAGAAAGAAAAAGGAAGAAAGCAAGTAAAAAAGAAATGTTGACTATATGGAACTCTAAGCTAACTAGTTATTTCATATTGCAGATTTCTTTTATAGCACTGGGTACTGAACTATTTGAGAGTGCTTCTTTACCCTCCCTTCCCCCTGTGCTAGGGATAGAACCCAGGGCCTGGCACATGCTAGGCAAGAGCTATATCCTCAGCCCTTTTTATTTTATTTTAAAACAGCATCCCACTAAGTTGCCCAGGATGGCTTCATATTGGCGATCCTTGTGCCTCAGTCTCATGAGCGGCTGGGATTACAGATGTGTGCTAACAAGCCTGGCAAGAGTTTTTAAAAATATAATCTCATACTACAGGGACATAGCCACATCAATGTTTATAGCAGCACGATTCACAATAGCTAAACTGTGGAACCAATCTAGATGCCCTTCAGTAGGTGAATGGATAACGAAAATGTGGCATATATACACAATGGAGTTCTATTCAAATTAGAACAAAAATATATTTATAATCTCAATAAGTAGCTAACAAAACTTTAAAAATTTACCAACTACTATAGACTTTATTGTGGCTAATTCTAGGAAGCGAAAGAATTTTAAAAAGCATTTAAATATGATGTTAAGGGGCTAGGATTGTGGCTCAGTGGTAGAGCACTTGCCTAGCCGGGTGCAAGGCCCTGGGTTCGATCCTCAGCACCACATAAAAATAAATAAACAAAATAAAGATATTGTGTCCAACTACAACTAAAAAATAAATATTTTTTTAAAAATATGATGTTAATGTAACATCATCCAAATATGATATAAGATAATATGACTCAATAGAGATACATACAGGATGCTGCAAGAACAATTTTGCTTAGTGGCATAGAGTTAGCAGCAAAAAAGAAGTGTTATTTGAACTAGATTTTGTAGGTTGTTTTATGAGTTTTCTATGTAGAGAAGTCAAGAGAAGACCTTTAACATAGTTGTATGAAAATACAGACTGCTTAAGGAACATGAACAGTCTGGTTTGGCTAGAACTATGGTAGCTAGATAAGTGGAAATATAGTTGGAGTCTTGTTATAAAGGGCTGGACTTTGACCTGTAGACTTTCTGTCTTGTAGGTGACAGATTGTTATAAAACAGTTGGTGTGTATGTTGAGGGGAGGGGATTTGGGGGATTGAACCCAGGTTTGTTCTACACTAAACTATATATATATCCCCATCCCTTTTTAAAAATTAAATTATTTATTATAATTTTTTATACATGACAGGAGAGTGTAATTCATTTCATATTACACACGTAGAGCATAATTTTTCAAGTCACTGTACACAAAATATTTTCACATCATTCACGTCTTCATACATGTACTTAGGGTGATGTCTAACTCATTCCACCATCATTCCTACCCCCTTACCCTACCTCATTACCCTCCTTCCCCTTTGCCCTATCTAAAGTTCTTCCATTCCTCCTTCCCCACCATCCCTTTTTATTTATTTTTTTAAATTTGGAGACAGGGTCTCTCTGAGCTGCCCAGATTGTCCTCCTTCTTGCAGTTCTCCTGCCCCAGCCCGCCCAGTTGCTGGGATTACAGGCATGCACCACTGTGCCCATTCCTTTAATTTTTATTTAGAAACAGGATCTTGCTAAGTTGCTGAGGCTGGCCTTGAACTTGTCCTGCTTCAGCCTCCTAAATCAGAATTACAGGAGTGCCCCACTAAGCCTGGCTTTTTTTTTTTCTTTTTTCTCTCTCTCCTGATAAGGGAAAATTTATGAGCTTTAGTGTCTGATATTTTTGATCTATGTTTTGGCTTAGAAGTTTTTCTATTTTTTTTATATGGATATAATTCATGTAGTGTAAAACTCACTCTCAAAGTATACGATTCAGGGTGCTGGAGTTGTGGCTCAGGGGTAGAGCGCTCACCTAGCACATCTTAGGCCCTGGGTTCGATCCTCAGCACCACATAAAAATAAATAAAATAAAGGTATTGTGTCCATCTACAACTGAAAAATAAAATTAAAAAGTATACAATCCAGTAAAGTATACAAACTTGTGGTTTTTAGTTTATTCAGTTATGCAGTCGTCACCACTCTTCAATTCCAGATTATTTTAATCACCCCCAAAAGAAACCCATACTCGTTAGCAGTCACTCCTTACTCCCTTTTCCACCTCCCCTCTAGCCCAGTCACTAATATCTGCTTTCTCTCTCAGTGGATTTACCTGTTCTAGACATTTCGTAGAAATAGAATTGTACAACATGACCTTTTGTATCTGGCTTCTTTTAGTATGCTTTCACAGTTCATACATATTTATATTGTAAGTCATTACTTCATTTTTTTTTATAGTTAAATGATTTTTCAATGTACGGTCATACGCATTTTGATTATGGACATTGGGTTTGTTAACATTTTGGGGCTATTCAGAATAATGTAGCAGGCTGCAGTGGCACGTACCTGTAATCTCAGCGGCTCTGGAGGCTGAGACAGGAGGATCACAAGTTTGAGGTTAGCCTGGGCAACTTATTGAGAACCTGTCTCAAAAAAAAACAAAAAAAGCTGGGGTGTACCTCAGTGGTAAAGTGCTCTTGGATTTGATCCCTAGGACTCCCCCCCCCTCAAAAAAAAGCTGCTGTTAAAGTGCAAATTTTGTTTATTTATTTTTTTCACTCCTTTTTGGTCTATAACTAGGAAAGGAATTGCTAAATCATATGGTTATTCTGTGTTTAACTTTTTGAGGAACTTCCAAACTGCTTCTACAAGTGACTACAGCATTCTGCCTTCCTCTAGCAATGTATCAGGATTCTAATTTCTCACCAACACTTATTATTGTCATGGTCGTCATCTTCTTCTATTTTTCCGTACTGGGGATTTAACTCTGGGACACTCAAACACTGAGCCACATCCCTAGCCCTATTTTGTATTTTATTTAGAGACAGGGCCTCACTGAGTTGCTTAGTGCCTTGCTGTTGCTGAGGCTGGCTTTGAACTCACAATCCTTCTGTCTTAGACCCCTGAACTGCTGGGATTATAGGCATGCACCACCGTGCCTAGTTTATCATCTTCTTTATTATAGTTATCCTACTGGACTGTGAAGTGGTATCTCAAGGTTTTGCAATGTTTTTCTAATGAGTAATATGAGTGTGAGCATCATTTCACGTACCTATTAGATATCTTCTTTGGAGAAATGTCTTATCAAAAGTTGTGCCCATTTTTTATTGGGTTGTCTTTTTATTGTTGAATTGTTAAGTTTTTTTTTTGCATGTTCTGTATACTGGACTACTATCATAAATCATATATACCATATGTAAGATTTGTAAAACTACTCCCATTCTGTGGGTCTTTGCACTTTCTCAGCACATGCTTTGAAGCACAAAAGATTTTAATTTTAAATCTAATCCCCATCCTTTTTTTTTTTTTTTAATTTTGAGACAGGGTCTCATTAAGTTGCTTAGGACCTTGCCAAGTTGCTGAGGCTGGCCTTGAACTTGTGATCCACCTGCCTCAGCCTCCTGAGTTGCAGAGATTACAAGCATGCAACACTCATACCTGGCTTGAAGTCTAATATTTTTTCTTTAATTGTTTTTGCTTTTAAGAAACATTTGCCTAATTTAAGATCATGAAGATTATGCCTTTTTTTTTTCCAGGAGTTTTATAGTTTTTGCCCTTGAATTTAAGTCTTTGATCCATTTTTAGTTAATTTTTGCGTATGGTACGGGATAGAGATCCAACTTCATTCTTTTTCATATAGATATCCCATTGTCTTGTACCAATCTTCCTTTCCTGTCTGGATACATTTTATTTTATTTTACTTTTTCCTGCCTAATTACCCTGGAGAGACTTCTGTTGAATAGAAACTATGTTGAATAGGAGTGGCAAGAGTAGGCATCTTTGCCTTCTTCTTGCTATTAGGAGGAAAACTTTTAGTTTTTAAACATTGACTATGATGTTAGCAATAGAATTTTTTTTTTTAATTTATTTTTTGGTGTAGATGGACACAACACAATGCATTTTATTTTTATGTGGTGCTGAGGATTGAACTCGGGTCCTGCCCGTGCTACGCAAGCGCTCTACCGCTGAGCCACAATCCCAGCCCCAGCAATGGAATTTTTGTAGATGCATATTTCAGGTTGAAGAAATTTCCTTCTATTTTTTATATATCAGAGTAGCCAGGCACACCTGTGACTGTGGAGGCTGAGGCAGGAGGATCACAAGTTCGAGACCAGTATCAGCGACTTAATGAGGTCCTGTCTCAAATTAAA